GCGACGGCCCTCTTCGGTTTACACTGATGCAAATTAATCATAGGAGAGCCTATTCACACAAATCTACAGTCACAGCTCTAAGGCAATCCCCCTACAACTTTCGATGAGGCTAACTTCCGAATCACTTCCACTTACCTCTTCACACGAGAAGAAAATTACTCCAACATTACCATAATTCGCCTCCACGCACCGTTTCTAACGAAAGGATATTCACAACATGGATGAACTACGAACTTCTTCAAAGTTCATCATCTCTTCGTATCCGCAGAAGTCCGATGGCAACAAAGCAGGACATGGATGGTATAACTTCGAGTTAGTTGTTGCAATTTGTGAGTCATCCTGCTCAGATCATCCACTGAGGCTTGACGACCGGTGGTCCCGTCCTCTTATTTTAACTGGTTCTAAGCTTCTCGAGGGAAACATTAGCTGCCACTTTGCGGATACAATGTCGCTTAATCTCTGAGTGGCTGTGACGACAACCGGCATATCAGCAAAGTGGACAACATCTCTTCAAATCGTTGTCAGTCTCGTCAGTCTCGTCAACACATGAAAGCCGGTTGGGTGGGTTGTCATGTTAACAACCAAAGGCAATTCTGCTTTATCTACCGATCAGTTAACGTGGTACAGGAGAATTGGCCACAGTCGATCGAACGGCTTGTTTACGACTGAGCTGTAGAACGCTTTTTAGCCAGCTTTATCTCACTCAGGTTTGACCTTTCATGCCGATTTCTCAGAACCAAATGGACGTCGGTTAGCCAACCGGCTTTTTCGTTTCCTCTTCAAATGGCACATTTTATGGCGGCATAAAGTGTATGCAGACGACCATTTGCAACAAGCCAGTGGCAATAGTCATGACCCGGTTGACTGGGCCAGGACACAATGCCGCTGCCTCGTGGGCAAATGTCTGCCTGGCTGGCTGGGCTCGAAGGTCTCGGTTCGAGTCCCGATTTGGGCAGAATGAGTTGTTGACACAATTTGTAAATTCATACAAGAATGATACACACTGATACTGTAATCTCCTCATAAGCATGGATTCTTTTTGCT